CCCCCCCGTGCACCCTCGCAGCCATCGAAGTCGTCCCCTCACGCTGACCCTCTCGCTCGAGTACCTCCCGCGGCTTTTCGTACCCACCCACCCGTGCTCTCTCAGTCCCTTCAGCGGGGTGCTGAGCGTGAAGAAGACGTCCCTTGGCATTGTAGCGGGCGGGAGGATGAACCCCTGGGTGAAAAGAAAGGGGTCGGACTCGCGCTGGCCGTGGCCGGAGAGAGTCTGGGCCCAGCCTTTGAGATGGCCCCCCAGTGTCCGTGGCACAGGGCTCGGATGTCCTCGAAAGGGTGAAGCGAGCCCAGGGCAGCCCGGGCCTCAGCGTGGGTGCAGCCCCACCCTGAGCTCCCCTCACCTCCGGGCAGACATCGACGAGTGCCGGGAGCTGCCGGGGCTGTGCCGGGGAGGTGACTGCGTCAACACCTTCGGCAGCTTCCAGTGCGAGTGCCCGGCTGGACACCACCTCAGCCGGGACAGCCGTGTCTGTGAGGGTGAGTGGGGACTCTTCCTGGGCCGCGCTGGGCCCTTCCCTCCCTCCTTGCCTTCCTGCTCTGCCAGGCTTCGTGAGGGCCCCAGAGGGAGGACCACATTAGATGCCCCGGTTTGCTTGCTGCCCTGCTTCCAGCAGCCACTGCCATCCACCTGTGCATCCATAACCAAGGGTCATTTTCCATCCACCCATCACCCACCCATCCATCACTCATCCATCCACCTGTCCATGCATCCACCCATCCATCCATCCATCCATCCACCCATCCACCCATCCACCCATCCATCCACCCACCCATCCGTCCGTCCACCTGTCCACCCATCCACCCATCTGTCCATCCGTCCATCCACCCATCCGTCCATCCGTTCATCCACCCATCCATCCACCCATCCGTCCACCCGTCCACCCATCCGTCCATCCATCCATTCATCCATCCATCCATCCACCCATCCACCCATCCATCCACCCCCCCATCCGTCCGTCCACCTGTCCACCCATCCACCCATCTGTCCATCCGTCCATCCACCCATCCGTCCATCCGTTCATCCACCCATCCATCCACCCATCCGTCCACCCGTCCACCCATCCGTCCATCCATCCATTCATCCATCCATCCATCCACCCATCCACCCATCCATCCACCCCCCCATCCGTCCGTCCACCTGTCCACCCATCCACCCATCTGTCCATCCGTCCATCCACCCATCCGTCCATCCGTTCATCCACCCATCCATCCACCCATCCATCCATCCACCCATCCGTCCGTCCACCCGTCCACCCATCCATCCACCCATCCGTCCGTCCACCCGTCCACCCATCCATCCATCCACCCACCCATCCATCCATCCACCCATCCATCCATCCATCCACCCACCCATCCACCCATCCATCCACCCACCCATCCGTCCGTCCACCTGTCCACCCATCCACCCATCTGTCCATCCGTCCATCCACCCATCCATCCATCCGTTCATCCACCCATCCATCCACCCATCCATCCACCCACCCATCCGTCCGTCCACCTGTCCACCCATCCACCCATCTGTCCATCCGTCCATCCACCCATCCATCCATCCGTTCATCCACCCATCCATCCACCCATCCATCCACCCATCCATCCATCCACCCATCCACCCATCCATCCATCCACCCATCCATCCACCCATCCATCCACCCATCCGTCCGTCCACCCGTCCACCCATCCATCCATCCACCCACCCATCCATCCATCCACCCGTCCATCCATCCGTCCATCCACCCGTCCATCCATTCATCCCCCTGCCTCTACCCACTCAGAAGTGACCTGGCTTTACAACAACAACCACGCCTTTCCTCCCTTGGGCCAAAGCTGATCAAGACCCAGAGCTGAGAGTGGGAAGGAAGAAGATAGAGGGGTGGCCCCGCCTTTCCTTCACACACACTTCACCTGTCCCTCTCGTGCTCATGAGTCACAGTGAAGGTTAGCTGGTGTCTAGGACTGTGGGTCTCCGATGTGCCAAGGTTCCTTGTTACTCAGTCACCACGCATGCACTGGTGTTCCTGTTGTGATCCTGCTTCTCAGATGCAGAGACTGAGGGTCAACGAGGCCAAACGGCTCATCCAGGAGCAGCAGCCAGTGAGCAATCAGGATGGGCTCTGGGCCTGGCCATTGTGATCACTGAGCTGACCTGGAACTCACTGTGTAGCCCAGGCTGGTCTCAAATTCACAGCGATCCTCCTGCCTCAGCCTCCCGAGTGCTGGGATGACAGGCGTGAGCCACCACGCCTGGCCGAGCTGAGCTCTTTTAGTGCAAGACACGCCCCCATCCATCCATCCAACCAACTACCCATCCATCCCATCATCCGTCCGTCCAGTCATTCGATTCATTATCCATCCACCCATCCATCCACTTATCTGTGCCTTTATTCATCTGTGCATCTATCTATTCATCACCCATCCTTCCATCTCGTCATCTATGCATCCAGCCAACCTTCCTTCCTCCCTTTTTCTTCCTTGTAACCGGGAAAGATTGAGTCATTATGAGAAACGAAGTTTGGCTCTAATCCCCCCACACAAACACACCCCAACAATCTGGTCCTTACGGCAAAGGTTTGCTGCCTACTGGCTGGAGGAATTCATTAGCCTGAGAATCAGTCCCCCCCCCCGTAAGTGCGGTCCTCCCCTACCCACGTGTACTTTCTGTGGTTTCTGTTATGCACAGTCAGCTGGAATCTGAAAATACTGAGTCAGTTTGTTGAGATGGGATCTTGCTGAGCCGCCCTGGGACTTTCCATGTAGCATAGGCTGATTTCCACTTTGAGATCGCTCTGCCTCAGCCTCCCTAGTGCAAGGCTTATAGGCATCCACCACTGCACCCAACTCGTAATATTGAGTGTGAAAATTCCAGAAATACCCAATAAACTCTTCTTGCAGTATGATTGATCTGTTTTATTGGTTACTTTTGTTCAACTCGCACTGTGCCTAATTTGGAAATTAAGCCTCACCACAGTTGTGTATCAGAAAATCACAGATTTATTCTATTGACAGGTTCCACAGTGTCCAGTGGCCAAAGATAAGCAGGAACAGGGCTGGGGATCTAGCTCAGTGGTTCTGCCTCCTGCCTCACAGCACAAGGTCCTGAGTTCGATCCCTGGCGCGCACACACACACAAAGAAAAGAAAAGGAAGGAAGGAAGGGAGACAAAAGAAAAGCAAGAACAGCCGGGCATGGTGGCGCACGCCTGTCATCCCAGCACTCGGGAGGCTGAGGCAGGAGGATTGCTGTGAGTCCGAGACCAGCCTGAGCTACGTAGTGAGTTCCAGGTCAGTCTCAACTACATAGTGAGACCCTGTCTCAAAAAACCAAAAAAATAAAAAAGAAAAAAGAAAAGAAAAGAAAAAAGAAAAGAACAACTGCTTAGTGATAAGAAAATCAACTCATAAGACCAGGTCTTTTGTTTGTTTTTCAGCACCGCTGATTGAGCCCAGTACCTTTGCACTGTGCTTAATCTCCATGTTTTTCGTTTTGTTTCGTTTTGTTTTTTGAGACAGGGGTCTCTCAAAGTTGCTAAGTCACCCTACCTGGGCTCAAATTTGCAGTCCTCCTGCCTGAGCCTGCCCGAGTGCTGGAATAACAGGAGTGTGCCACCACGCCTGGTTTAAGTGAGGCTGTGAGGGATGAGTAGGAGTTTTCTCAGTTTAGCCCATTGTTAAAAGACGCGGTATCACAGTATGTGGTGGGTCCCTGGGCCTGGCAAGGACTTACTCAGCCCCTGCCACTGCCTGCCACTGTCCCCTGTGCCTTCCCTCTCCTCAGATGTCGACGAATGCTCTGGGCACGCGGGCATCTGTGGCCCTGGCACGTGCTACAACACCCTGGGGAGCTACACCTGTGTCTGCCCCGCGGAGTCCCTGCAAGTCAACGGTGGCAACAACTGCATGGGTGAGATGTGTGCCGACTGGGGCACGAGGAACTGCTGGAGCGGCACCTGAGTAGGGCAGAGACTGCTTGAGAGTGACAGAGACGCATGTTTGAGGAAGAAAAGACAGAAAGGCTAAGCACATCTGAAGTGCCAATCTTGCTCTTTGAACAAGGCTACAGGATTCAGGAGCCTAAGGCTGCCATGTGAACGGTTGCCCAGGTTGTGCACTGCCCGATAAAGGCTAAACTATGAATGGCGCTTCCAAGCGTGTAAAGAAAGGCCCACCAAGTCCATCACGTCCAGATGGATCCATCATTAATTTCCATCTGTTTGGCCCTCTCTTCTTCTGACCAGAAGGGGCCCTTTCCCACACTAACTCTTCTCCCCTACTGTACCGCAGATGTGAGAAAGAGCCTCTGTTTCCGGCACTATAACGGCACCTGTGGGGATAAGCTGGCCTTCAACGTGACCCGGAAGACGTGCTGCTGCGCCTACAACGTCGGCCAGGCCTGGAATAGACCCTGCGAGGCCTGCCCCGCCCCTGCCAGTCGTGAGCGCCCTCCCTCTCCCGCTACCAAGCCTGGCCCTTCCCTGCGCATGTGCGCTGGGGTCTCCTAGACAACCCCGTCCTCTTCAGATGAGAGCAGGAGGGTGGGAGCGAGGCAGGGGTCGGGGGCTTAGCTCAGTGGTGCCGCCGCCCGCTCGCAAGCGCAAGGTCCCCAGTTCCATCCTGGTACCAAACAAACAACAGGCAGAAAATCGCAGCTGGGTGGAGAAGCAGGGATCCCCTGGACTGGAGGACTCTGGGGAAGACGAGTCCCTGATACAGCAGTTACGGTGCGGGGGGGACTGGGTGATCAACCGTTAGAAGAGCCAGGCATGGTGGGGCACCGCACGCCTGTCATCCCAGCACTCCAGGAGGCTGAGGCAGGAAGATAGCCAAGTTCGAGCTCAGTCCAGACAACTTCGAAACTTAGCAAGACCCTGTCTCAAAAAACAAAAGCAGAGTGCAGGTCTGGCTGGTTTTCTCTTGCTGTAGCAAAATACCCAAGATCTAGTAACATACAGAGAATAGAGATTTCGTGCACAGCTGTAATCCCAGCTGCTTTGGAAGGCAGGGGAATCAGGATTTCAAGCCCAACCTAGGTAATTTGGAAAGACCCTGTCTGTGAAGTAAATCCATAAGCCGGGCGTGGTGGCGCAAGCCTGTCATCCCAGCACTCGGGAGGCTGAGGCAGGAGAATCACTGTGAGTTCGAGACCAGCCTGGGCTACAATAGTGAGTTCCAGGTCAGTCTCAACTACATAGTGAGACCCTGTCTCAAAAAACAAAAACAAAAACAAAAGTAAATCAATAAATAAGGTTGGGGATGCAGCTCAGCGCAAAGACCCTGGGTTCAACCACAAGATGGGGTTTGTGGATGGGGGTGTGGCCATCAACCCTAAGCACCTCCCAAAGATTTCACCTCCAGACACTACTGGCTTAGGACTCCAGGGGGTCCGTTTCCAACGTGTCAACTTTGGGTGACCCTGGGGAGTCAAAGGGAGCTGTGAAGTCTGGGCAGAGGGCACAGCAGGCATACCAGAGCCGGGCAGCTACAGCAGGGCAGATCTAGACACAGAGGTATGCTTCTGGCCCAGGTATAGGGAATAACTGTCTTTTGGTACCGGGGATTGAACCCAGGACCTTCACACTGTCCTGTATCCTTGGCCCTTTTCATTTTGATACGGGGTCCAACCAAGTCACTAAATTGTCCAGGCTGGGCTTGAGCTTGCCATCCTCCTGCCTCAGCCTCCCGAGTAGCGGGGACCACAGGCCTGCACCACCACGCCCAGCTTCCAAGTTCAGGAGTTTCTGTGGGAGGGATGCCTGGGGCAGGGGACCAAGGTCTTGCGGTGTTACTGGAGCAGGCTGTGTCTGTGCCCAGGGGCAGCGGGCACGGCTGGTGTGGGCCCTGTGGGAAAGTGACGGGAAAATCCCAGCACACAGGCACACAGTGGCTTTGAACACAGCTGCTCAGGGCGGAGAGGGAGCGGGAGAGGTGGCCAGGCCAGGGCCAGACTGCAGGGGACAGGGGATTGCTCTGGAGCCCCGGGGGTCCGCAACGCTGCTCTCCTCTGCCCAGCCCACTACCAGGTCCTGTGTGGGAACCAGGTTCCGGGCTTTATACTCGACGTCCACACAGGAAAGCCCGCCGGTGAGTGATGCCAGGGCCTCCCCCACCACCCCCATCCGCACTCTTCTTAGTGAGTACTCCTATCAGATTGTCCCCCTTTTTTTGGTGGTTTTTTTTTTGAGTGATGGATAAATACTCACAACATAAAATTCGCCATTGAGCCCTTTTTCAGCGCTCAGTTTCACAGTGTGAAGCACATTCCCGTGGCTGTGCTGCCTTCCCCAAGAGCCCCCTGCAGGTCGCTCTCATCTTCCCACTCTGGATCTGTCCCCACAAAACAAGAAGTCCCCACCCATCCCCAGCTGGGTACCCACTGGCCTACTTCCTGTCGCTGTGGTTCTGACGGCTCCAGGGACCTCCTAGGAGACAGATCAGAGAGTGCCTGGCTTTTGATTTAGGAAATAGTGACAAAAAAAGAGTCTGCTCATGTTCGGCATAGATACAAATTTATTTGTTTATTTTTCTTTTCTGGTACTGGGGGACTAAACCCAGAGCTTTCACACTGAGCTGCATCTTCCTGGCCCCGTCTTATGTTCGACTTTGAAACAGTCTCTCACTAACTCACTCTGCTACCCGGGCTGGGATCCAACTGGCGGACCCTCCTGCCTCAGCCTCCCAGAGTGCTGGGATGACAGCCTGCTGCTGCCCCTAGCTTAAAAAATATTTCTGACCTGTGCCTGGTTGAATCGGAAACTCTCCAATAGCAGAGGGCTGTGTGTGGGGTGAGAGAGTGTGTGTTACACACAGGCATTTATGCGGATGGAACTCCTATGATATAATTCATGTACTATACACTTTACCCAAAGTGCCCTGTTCACAGCTGGGAGTGTATTTCAGTGACAGGGTGCTTGTCTAGCGCTCTCAAGTTCCTATATTTCATGCAGGAGCCCAATTTGGCGGTCTTGGCACATTCATAGTTGTTGCAGCTATGACCGTAAGTGAAGTTAAGAACATTTCATTATACAAAAAGAAACTGCTAGCCAAGTATGATGGCCACGTACTTGTAAATCCCAAAACCCTATAGGAGGCTGAAGCAGGAGGATCACAAATATGAACCCATCTAGTACAACTTAGACCCTGTCTCAAACATTTTTAGAACTTTTTTTAATTTTGGGGGGGTCTTGTTCATTTCTTTTGTTGTTACTCTTGGTTTTGTTTTGTTGTGTTTGAGACAGGGTCTCTCTGTGTAGCCCAAACTAGCCTCGAACTCAACAACGACCCTCCTGACTCAGCCTACTGAGTGCTGGGATTACACAGGTGTGGCACAGGTGTGTGCCTGGAAAATGATATTTTTCGAATTTTTTGTAGAGGTCTTGGGATGTAGCTGAGTGTAGAGGAACCCCAAGTACCACAGTATTAGGAAGAGAGGGGGAGGGAGGGGAGGGAGGCCCGACCCCAACGAGCAGGCACTTAACTGCCTCCCTCAGCCCTGGCACAGTGACTTCCTGTCTCCGTGGATGACGCTTCCTGTCTCTGGAGCCGTGCCCCTGCGCACCTTGCTTCTTGGCTGAGATGCCCCGCCCTCTTTTCAGCACCCCGTTTCCAGGGTTCACCCACTCTGTGGCTCGCTCCAGGGCTTCTTCTGTCCCTGATGTGGCCGAGCAATATTCCACAGCTCGGGTATTTCATATTTGGCTGTCTGTTCACCAATGGATAGTTCCAGTTTTCTTTTGTTTTGATAAATATCATGCCCTCTGAGGTCTTTCAGTCACGCAAAGCTGTTTTGGTCTCGTACGTCCCAAGAAACAGGGCCACTGAGTCCCAGGAGTGAGTGTGTGTGTGTGTGTGTGTGTGTGTGTGTGTGTGTGTTTCTCCTTTTTTGCAGCCCTGCGGTTTGAACCCAAGCCCTTTGCACTGAGCTCCATCCCCAGCCCCTTTTTATTTTTTGAGACAGGCTCTCACTGTGTCTGAGTTGCCCAGGCTAGGCTCAAAGTTGTAATCCTCCTGCCTCAGCCTCCCAGAGTACTGGAATTACAACAGGCTTGCACCACCACACCCACCTGAAGTGTGCATTTTCAACTGCAAACAGTCTGCTCTCTTCTTCCCACACCCTGACTTCCCCCTGGTGCAAGTGGATACATTTTGGCCACAGTAGGTTTCTGGATCCTGGTTTCAGCTACATCTTCCAGCAGACTGCAGGACCAGTGGGCTCCCGGGAGGCCCTGGGGACTGGGCTGCCCCTGATGGCTCGTGTCCTCCCCAGACATTGATGAGTGTGGGGAGATCCCGGCCATCTGCGCCCATGGTGTCTGCATCAACCAGATTGGAAGCTTCCGCTGCGAGTGCCCCTCTGGCTTCGAGTACGACAGCGCTTTCCTGGCTTGCAAAGGTGCTGGCCCCTCGGTCCCCAGTCCTGGGGTCTGGGTGGGGTGCTGGCTCCCACCGTGCAATCTGGTCCTGTAAATTCTGCGAGCCTCAGTTTCCCTGTCTGTAGAGTGGGCTGTATTTCCTTTCTGTTGTCAGACATCATGCCCGACACTCACACCTTAGAGCGGGGGAGGCTGATCTGGCTCACAGTTTCAGAGGATTCAGGCCACAGTCGGGAGCGTCGTGGAGGAAGGGCCTGGCGGAGCGAAACTGCTTGGGTTATGGTGTTGGGAAGCCGAGCGGAGGAAGCAGTGGCAGAGGAGAACGGGCCAGCTCTGTTTCCAGGGGTTCAGGGTTCAATTCTGTCCGTCTGGCCTCTCTCTCATCCCCACCCCGTTTCCTGGCTTCCCAAGATGTGGACGAGTGTGTTGGCCCGGAGAGGCCCTGCCCAAGGAGCATGGACTGCGTAAACGTCCCAGGCAGCTACCTCTGCCAGTGCACCCGGGGCTTCCGGCTGTCACCTGGTGGGACCTGCGTGGGTGAGAGGGGTCCTGGGGGAGCAGGGCATGCAGGGCAAGGGGGCCAGGCTGGATCACCTGCGGTGACAGGGCCCGGAACGGTTCTGTCTGGGTCTCCCTCCCTCCCTCCCTCTTCCTCCTCTTTCTCTCTATGTACATGTATCTAGATGTGATGCCACTGAGCTAAATCCCAGGCCCGCTTGCAACTTTTTTTAGTTTTGAGATAGGATCTTGCCCTGTGATCTAAGGGGGCCTTGAACTCCTTAAAATCACCATGATCCCCCACCGCAGTCTCCCAAGTGCTGGGACGCCAGGCATGTAACACCGCGACCTGTGTCGTTATCAGTAGTAGTACGTCCTTGCAGTATAGAGTGATTACATCCGTCACAGGGACTTGGTCCGCCTACTTGACACATTTGGATTCTTTTTACATTGAGCCAGGCGTGGTGGCGCACACCTGTCTTCCCAGCACTTGGGAGGCTGAGGCAGGAGGATTGCTGCGAGTTCAAGGCCAGCCTGTACTGCGCTGCATAGCAAGACCTTGTCGTGCCAGGGCTCAGGAAGAGTGAGGTCAGCCTTGGTGGGGTGGAACGCCTGGGGACACCACGCTGCCTGCATCCCCAGGTCAGAACGAGTGTCGGGAGCTCCCCAGTGTCTGCAGCCACGGCGACTGCATGGACACAGAGGGCAGCTACAGGTGCCTGTGTCACCGCGGCTTCCGGGCCTCAGCAGATGGGACCCTGTGCGTGGGTGAGAGCCCTTCCTGCCCCTTCCTGGGCCAGGCTCTGCCTGGGGTCTGCCCGCCCCCAGGGGTGGGCAGGGCCCTTCCAGCCACCGTAGTTCACAAACAGACCCGGATGTGACCCCTGGCGCGCAGGTCTTAGGTAAAGGACTTGTTCCGTGTCCGCCTGTCTTCCCCATCCATACCATGAGGATCGAAGATGGTAGCGGGGTACTTCCCAGCCGTCCCTTCTAGGGCCCCAGCCTTCTCCTCCACCACCCCAAGCACCTGGTGCGTGAAGGGGTCTTGGCTTCGCTCTGACAGACCTCGATGAGTGCGAGAAGCGGCCGTGCCCAAACGGGACCTGCAGGAACGTTGTGGGCTCCTACGCCTGCCTCTGCCCCCTTGGCTTCGCACCAGTGCACGGGACCTGTGTGGGTGAGTCGCGGGCGTCCTCCCCGCTGGGACGTGGCTGCGTGGCCCGAGGGTGCCTCTTGGAGAAAAAAATGACCTCAGGCATTCGCATTTCCTCTGGAGATGAGCCAGCCTTTCCCCTTCCTGCAGTTTCCCAGTTCCAGGTTGGGCTTGTAGGGCTCTTTTGTCAGAGTTTACGCCAAGAGCGGTGACAGGCAAGTCGACCTCATGACCTAATGCTATGAATCGGCCTGTGTGTGTCCTCTTAGCTGCATCCCACACGTGTGATTAAAAGGCCTTTTATTTATTTATTTGTACTGGGGATCGAACTTGGGCCCTTGCACTTGCAAGGCAGGTGGCGGCACCATTGAGCCAAGTCCCCAGCTACCCACATGTTTTAATGTTGTGTTCTCATTTGCACTGAATTGAATTCAAAATAGTTTCCAACTTCTGTTAGGGCTTCTCTGGAGAAATCCTAAGAGAAGGAGGTGAAGAGTTAAAGACCTTGGTGGTATAGCATTACCCAGTTTGGGTCACTGGGTGAAAGTGCACGCCAAGATCAGGCAGTGTGGGTTCAAATCCCAGCCTGGTCACCTACCAGCAGTGTGACCCTGGGAAGGCAATTCACCTCCCAGTGTTTCCGTTTTCTTATTTACAAAAGGAGGATTGTTGTTTTGTTTGTTTGTTTGTTTTGAGACAGGGTCTCACTATGTAGTTGAGACTTAACCTGGAACTCACTCTGTAGCCCAGGCTGGTCTCGAACTCACAGTGATCCTCCTGCCTCAGCCTCCGGAGTGCTGGGATGACAGGCGTGTACCACCACCACCATGCCCAGCTCAAAAGGAGGATTAATAGTAGGGCTTATTAGAGCAATATCAGACTTCTCAACAGAAATATTACCAGGGCTGGATGTGGTGGCAAAGCCCCTGATCCCAGCACTCGGGAGGCTGAAGCAGGGGATCTCTGTGAGTTTGAGGCCAGCCTGGGCTACGCAGTGAGTTCAAGGCCAGCCGGAAGTACATAGCTAGAACCTGTCTCAAAAAAAAAAAAAAAAAAAAAGTGTGTGTGTGTGTGTGTGTGTGTGTGTGTGTGTTACCAGAAAGCCAGGCATAGTGGTGCATGCCTGTAATCCCAGGACTTAGGAGGCTGAGGCAGGAGGAGCACCACAAATTCAAGGCCAGCCTGGGCCACATAATGAGACCTTGTCTCAAAGAACAGACAAAACAGAAATATTGCCAGAGAGAAAGAGACAGAGAGAGACAGACAGACATTATATTATAGGGGTCAGTTCTCTGAGGAAATATAACCATAAATGCATAGGCATCCAATAATAGAGCTTTAAAACATATAATGTAAAAATTTACTGAACTGAAAAAAGAAATAGACAAATCCCAGCATGCCTCCCTCAGTACTAGGAAGCATAAACAGACAGGAAATGAGTGAGGATAGAGGAGACCTGAGCGATAGCATCTCAACCTCTACAACATTCTGGAATCAGCATTCTTGTCAGACATATTCACCAAGAACACCATACGGTGGACCATAAACATAACCTTAAGGGATTTTAAACAGTGAAGTCACACAATGTAGTAGGTCCTTGGGTTGCACAGGAATGAAACGAGAAATAGGTCACGGAAAGATTTAATTTCTGGGGCCAGGGATTTATTTAGCTCAGTGGTTCCACTGCCTGCCTTGAAAGTGCAAGGACCTGAGTTCAATCCCTGTACCAAAAAAAAAAAAAAAAAAAAAAAAAAAAAAAAAAAAAAAGATTTAATTTCTAAATATTTGGAAATCAACGCACTCCTGAATAACTCGTAGGTCAAGGAAGAAATCATAAGGGGAAATGAGAAAAATGCTTAGAGTTAAATGGAAATGAAATCATGAAATATCCAAATGGGTGGGATGCAGCTAGAAGGGTTATTATGCTTTAGACTAAAATGTCCCCCAAATTCTCATGTGTTTGAGAGCTGACTGGCTTATAGGGTTAAAGGCTCACCAGTGGCTTGATTCCGCCACTAATGAGTGCTTTGTGCAGGTGGGGCGTGGTTGGAGTTGGTCACAGAAGCCATGAGCCGAGCACCTTTCCCTCCAACAGGCCCTTCCGCCTTCTTGTTTCTGCTCAGAGCCAGCCCAACCACGGGCTGAAAACATGAGCCCAAACAGACCTTTAAGCTGGGGGTGTCAGATATTTTGTCCAAGGACAGGAAAGTCACTCAGACCAGAGCACTCAGAGGCAGATGCATAGCACTTTGTGGTCTTACAGAAAACACCGGTACTCACCTCACGGGGTGGCAGGAAAGTTACTGTACAGCAATGTGTGTGTGTGTGTGTGTGTGTGTGTGTGTGTGTGTGAGTGCTCGATAAAGAGAAGTCAGTGCCATCGCTGTGGGTGGAAAGGCAGGAGAGGCTGGGTTCGTGCAGGCTCTGCGGCTGACCCTTCCCACCCATCTTCTCTCCGCAGACATGGACAAGTGTCACACCATGGCAGGGCAGGTGTGCCGAGCGGGACGGTGCCTGAACTCGGCCGGCTCCTTCCACTGCCTCTGCCAGGGCGGCTTCAGGCTCACAGCTGACGGGAAGGACTGTGTGGGTGAGTTACCACTGGACCGGAGCCATCTCAGCAGCCTCTGCTCCACCTTGACCGGAGGTTCGTACTTCGCGGTGAGCATGGCTCCATTTAACATCCATGCGTTTCATTTAAAAGTACAGGAAGAAAAACACTAGCACCTCCTGTTTTCACAGAGTGCATGGTTTAGGGTGAGGCTGTCTTGAAAATATAAGTTTTCAGGGCCGGGGGAGTTAGCTCAGTGGTGCCGCTGCCTGCCTTGCAAGCACAAGGTCCTGAGTTCAATCCCTGGTACCAAAAAAAAAAAAAAAAGAAAAGAAAATATAAATTTTCTGCTAGGCATGGTGGTGCACACCTGTAATCCCAGCACTATGGGAGGCTGAGGCAGGAGGATTGCGAATGTCAGACCCTAAAAATGAACTTTTCCTGACCCTGCCCTGGAGACACTTTCTGACAAAGATTCTCCCGCATGCACACTGCCCACCCAGCGCTGTGGGTCACATTGAGCCCTCAGATTCCGTGCCCTGCACCCCCACTCCATCTGGCCCTCCTCACAATGGAGGCTTCCGCACCCTGCTGGCGGTCCCACTTGTACCCCTCCCAGCTCACGGCTCTGCCCCCCCAGACACTGACGAATGCTTGGAGGATGCCAACCTCTGCCTCTTTGGCACCTGTACCAACATTCCCGGGAGCTTCCGGTGCCTCTGCCCACCTGGCTTTGTTCCCTCCGACCATGGGCACCGTTGCTTTGGTGAGCTGGGCACAGGGTGCACACAGGGCTTCAGAAGAGGCTGGTGGGAGGTCAGGCGGGGAAGAGTCCAATTACCCAGGAAAGGGAGGCTGTGGATTTTATACAACACGGCAGGAGCTCCGACCAGACGCCAGTGCCTCTGCACAGTGCAGTTCTGCTAGTCCCAGGACTTCTCTGGCTGATAGGATTCTGAGGAGAGCCAAGGTCTGGGAGTTTGGGATCTGAAGCCTAAGATCTTCTAGCTCTCCAGAATCAGTGGCTTTGCCTCTCCAAAAATGAATAGGTTGGAATATTGCTGTTAAGGTTCCCACCTAACCAGCCAAAGTCTCAGGGCTGGTTCTCATTGGCCCGGTAGGAGTCACATGTTCATCCCTGAGCCAATCACCACAGCCGCGGAGGGGGTGCTCTGATTGGCTGCTGTTAGACTCAGCACCTCCCCTTCCCCAGGGTTGGGGTGAAGGGCAGCTGGGCGAGAGCTTGCTCCTGCTGGCCCTTGACGTTCCCACGCCTCCCCGCGCCCCCCAGACACCCGGCAGAGTCTCTGCTTCACTCGCGTTGAGGCTGGGAGGTGCTTGGTGCCCAAAGCTTTCAACACCACCAAGACCAGGTGCTGCTGCAGTCAGAGGCCGGGCGAGGGCTGGGGTGAGCCCTGCGAGCTGTGCCCTCGGGAGGGCAGTGGTAAGTGGCTGCCTTGCCCTGCGCCTGTCCTCCCTCCCCCGTTCTCCCCGCTTCCGGTCCGAGCCTGACTCCCTCCCCCTCCCTGGCCAGCTGCCTTTCAGGAGCTCTGTCCCTTTGGCCACGGGGCGGTCCCCGGCCCGGGAGACTCTAGAGAAGGTGAGCCCCTGGCCCCTGAGCCCGCCACGGCTCTGCCTGGGTCCCCGGGTCCCCGTGGGTGTCCTGGGCCCACGGCGACCACACTGCCTGCCACCCTGCGGCTGCAGACGTGAACGAGTGCGCGGAGAACCCAGGCCTCTGCGGCAACGGGCTCTGTGTCAACACCGACGGCTCCTTCCGATGCGAGTGTCCCCCAGGCTACGGCCTGGACCCCACGGGCGTCAGCTGTGTGGGTGAGTGAGGCCCGCGGGCCCTCCCTGTCCTCGTCCCTGCGTCCTCCCTCCCCACTTGGTCGCACGATCACCGGATCGCCCTGGCACTCAGGTCATACAGAGTGTGTTAACCCACCCGTGGTGCCCCCGGGGAGGCAGTAGCGAGGACGGGGCCTGTGCGGGCCTGACCACCCCTCCTTCCCCCAGACACAGACGAGTGCTCTGCGGGGCAGCCCCGTGGGGAAGGCGCCTGCACCGATGGCATCGGGGGCTTCCAGTGCGCCTGCACCCATGGCTTTGAGCCTGGCCCCATGGCCCGCTGCGAGGGTACAGGCTGGCGCCCTGACACAGGGCTGTGTGGCAGGGACACCTGGGTGGCCTGGGGTGGAGAGCGAGGACCCTCGGGGCAGGCCCCGCCCACGAGACACCCCTGTGGCTCCCACAGACATGGACGAGTGCTTGCTGAACCCGCTGCTCTGCGCCTTCCGCTGCCACAACACCGAGGGCTCCTATGTGTGCACCTGCCCGGCTGGCTACACCCTGCGTGAGGATGGGGCCATGTGCCGAGGTGGGTCCCACACGGCACGGGGGCGCTGCCAGGGCCTGGGGCTCCTCATTGTCCATCCCATGCTCCCTCTGGCATGGAGGTCCAACCTGGGCCCCAGAGTCCCATAGACTGAAGTGTGGGCTCAGGTCCTGTGCTCCCTGCCTACAGAACAGAAATAAGAGCTGAAGCTCCAGGGTGCGAGGGAGCCCATGGCACTGAGCCAGGGAGCTTGCAGAAGGTGCTCTGTTGGGCAGTGTCATTATCTTAGTCCAAAGAATAGGATGGCTGTGCACACCTGTCATCCTTGGCACTTGGGAGGCTGAGGCAGGAGGATCTCTGCTAGTTCAAGGTCAACCTGGGCAACCTAGTGTGTTAAGGCCAGCTTCAACTACATGGTGAGACCTTGCCCTTCCCCAAATAAAATACAGTAGATTGGGCCAGGGATTTAGTTCAGTGGTTCTGCTGCCTGCCTTGTAAGCACAAGGACCAGAGTTTGATCCCAGGTACAAAAAAAACAAACAAACAGTGGATCAATGATATCTCCGTTGGTCCAGAGTCTTAACAGGTTGGCGAAGGCTGGCCCTGTCCTGAGTGGAAGAGGACAGAGGGACCAATGGTCACGCCTCCTGGGGGACATGCGGTCATCTCTGTGACAGTTTTTGTTACTGTAAGGGAGGAGGCACTGACTCCCTGCAGTGCACACAGAAGCCCCTCCTCCCACCACGGCCACAGAGGCTTCCTTGATCGCAGTGCTCAGTGTCAAGGGCGAGAGACCCTGAGGCTGGGATGTGACCCCTGGGGGCTGTTTCTGAGTCCCCGTTCTGGGTCATGGTGGGAGCCCGGCAGACTCTCAGGCCCCGGTGTAGGCAAGGGAGATGGGTTTGGGGGTGCAGTCCTGAACGCTCTGGGGTGGGCCACGGCCTGGGGCTCCCTTCCAGACGGGACAGACTCCCCTGTGGCTGTGGGGGGTGGGGCTCTGGGGCTGTCCGGTGGAGCACCTGTCCCTGGTGGTCCCCAGATGTGGACGAGTGTGAAGAGGGGTCACAGGACTGCCACGCCCACGGCATGCTGTGCAAGAACCTCATCGGCACCTTTGCATGCGTCTGCCCGCCGGGCATGCGGCCCCAGCCTGGCTCCGGGGACGGCTGTGTAGGTACGGGGGGCAGGGGCCCCACCGGAGGGAAGACAAGCACGGCTGTGGGGGCTGGCTCGGGCCCTGGCCACCCCCTGGCCTGCTTACGCCTTCCCACCTCAGATAAGGACGAATGCCGCGCCCAGCCCAGCGTCTGCAGCCATGGCCAGTGCGTCAACACTGTGGGCAGCTTCTGGTGTGACTGTCAGGAGGGCTTCCAGCCCGGCCCGACCCTCACCGAGTGCCACGGTGAGTGTGGATGCCGGGAGCGCTGGGAAGCAGACAGGGTGACGGTGGCAGCCGAGCCGGTGCAGACACGCCTGTTCCCTGCACACACCCCGTTCTAGCTTTTGTCTTTTTTTTTTTTTACTCCTGTGAGGGTAGAACTCAGGACCTTGCACTTGCGAGGCAGGTGGTGGCACCACTGAGCTAAGTCTCCGGTTGCTTTTGTCCTTTCACTCAAACGTCCCGGAGACCTGCTGCCTCCCGCTCCCCGACCTGTCCCCCAGGATTCCTCCAAACTGGAGCAGCACCGGGGAATGAGCCCTCCCAATCTCCCACTTCCTGGGAGCCAATCCCAGTACGTGACCGGGGCCCATGTCTGTCCAGTCCCTGTATCTTTTCCAGTCCCCACACGTTTTCCTGAGCCAGCGTCCACCCAACAGCTCCAGGCCAGGGGTGCACACCCAGAGTCCTCCTGGACCCCGCTGTCCTTGGCCTGCACTGCAGTTTGCCCCAAACGGAACTCATGATCCTTGTCCCCTTCCTCGGCTCCGTGCAGGTCCCTGAGCAAGCTTCCCAGAGTGACCGTCTTTCCCACGCCAGGGTCCCGTCTGCGTGTGTCCCCTTCCCATCTCCCAGGAGGGAAGTGGACATCTATCTCTGGGTGTCGTTTTTCCCTCCATTCCATCCCAGACGCCCCCACCCCGATGTTCACTGGTTTCCCTGCTGCCCCTTGGTCATCTGTTCTTTCTGTGACCAAAGGACGCTGCCCTTTGTCCCCAAGAGGTCGTCCTGCCTCTGCAGTGCAGCCCAGGCCATCCTGAGGGTTGGGGGGCGGTCTGTTGCTTGCATCCCAGGTCACTGAGGGTGTTTCACGGGGAGGGTGTCAAAGGCCTCGCCCCGTGCGTATGCACCAGGGGGCGCTAGACCCCCAGCGTCTCCCGTTCACACCTCCAATGGCTCCCTGCAGATGTTCGGAAGGGGCGCTGCTTCTCCGAGGTGCTGCAGGCCGCGTGCCCATCCCACTGGAGCAGTGGCGAGGCTGTGCCCAGGGCCGTGTGCTGCTGCGGTGGCGGCCGGAGCTGGGGCCCCAGCTGTGAGCTGTGCCCTCTGCCCGGCACCTCTGCCCACAAGAAGCTGTGTCCCCACGGCTCGGGCTACACCACCAAGGGACGAGGTGGGGGTGCTTGGGTGTGTGAGCCATTCTTTATGTGTACGTATGTGTGTGTGTGTGTGTGTGTGTGTGCGTGCACCTTTGTGAAAGCAGGGTGTGCTCTGGGTGTTTGTGAACCTGAGTGGCCAAGTGAGCAGTTATGTGAACCAGTGTGTGTGTGTGTGTGTGTGTGTATGCGTGCACGTGTGTGTTCTCTGCATGTACAAGCTCATTAGCGAGCACATGAGCTGGTGTGTGCTGTGTGTGCAAGTTTGTTATTGGGCCTGTGTCCGTGTGCACACACGTGTGCTCAGTGGAAGGTGCACCACCAGCGTGTCTGGCTGGCTCAGGGGCAACACATCCTGGGGGCGGGGTCCACAGGAGTGGGTGTGGGGGAGAGGAGCCTGGGCTTCCAGCGGGGACAGGCTGCTGGGTGGAAGGAAGGCTGGGGACATGCCCGGGACACCAGGTGGCCGCTGGCCCCGCCCTGCTCATCCCCAGATGTGGACGAGTGCCGCGTGCTCGCTCACCTGTGTGCCCACGGCGAGTGCATCAACAGCATGGGCTCTTTCCATTGCCACTGCCAGGCTGGGTATGCACCGGATGCCACCACCACCACCTGCCTGGGTGAGTCTCTCCCCCATGACCCAGGGCTGTGAGTTCACAACACTTGCTTTCCATTTTCAAAGTTTGCCCACCTCCCAAGGGAAACGGAGCACAAGACCAGAAGCACAGCTCCCTGGGCTTCTCCCCTGTTTGGACTGTGTCCCTGCTCCGATTTCCTTCTGTGATTCTCCAGCAGTTTCTTGTCTAAGTCACGGGGCAACACCTCCAGCCTGTGAGACAAGTCTGGCCCTTTGTTTGGTTTTGTAAATAAAGTTTTATTGGCACACAGCCATGCCTATTTGTTTATTGATTCTTAATGTCTCTGTTCATATAATGGCTGTTGGTATCCTACCTGGATACCAAAATCCAGGGCTGCTTAAGTCCCTTTTATTTATATATGACATACACATTTTTAAAATTTTCTTTTCTCTGTACCAGGAACTGAACTCAGGGCTTTGCACTTAGCCAGGGAGGCACAGCACTGCTGAGCAACACCCGTGGCCATTTTCTTTTTTTTTTTTTTTTTGCTGACCTTGAACTTGGGTGATTTTCCTGCCTCAGCCTCCCAAGTGCTGGGATTACAGGTGCGAGCTGCCAATCCCAGCTCTATACACATTTCTTATTTGCTTGGTTTTGTTTATTTTTTAATCACTTATTTATTCGGTGGTGCTGGGCATGGAACCCAGGACTTTGCACATGCTAGGCAAGTGCTTTCCCACTGAGCCACACCCCAGGTGCTCCTGTATTCTTTAAATTATTTCTAAACCAGATATAGTGGCTCATGCTGGTAACCACAACACTTTGGGAGGCTGAGACAGGAGGATGGCAAGTTTGAGCCCAGTTTGGGCAATTTGGTGAATTAGCGAGACCCTGTCTCAAAATTTAAACATTTAAAAGGGCCAGGGATGTAGCTGAATGCAAAGTCCTTGGCTAAATCCCGAGTATTGCCAAATAAATAAATCATCTGTAGATGACTTTTTAACACCTAACACAACATAAATGCTATGTACACTGTTGTATTATTTAGGGAATAAAGCCTGCATGTTAAGACCTTTTTGTTGAGGAATATTTCCGGGCTCTTGTTGGTCGAATGTACAGGTACAGAGAGCAGACTCCGTGTAGTACTTTGCTTTTGACAGAAAGAGGTGCCAATTCCGTGTGCTCCATGGATTTGGGGTGGTCAGAGTCTGGGAAGGGAACCCCAGTCCCTGAGCAGCCCCCCTCAGTGCCTGACCTCACCCTTGCCATCCCCCGCCCCCAGATGTGGACGAGTGCGCCCAGAACCCGGAGCCATGTTCCTTCCTCTGCAGAAACACGGAAGGCAGCTTCCTGTGCACCTGCCCCCGGGGTTATCTGCTGGAGGACGACGGCAGGACCTGCAGAGGTGAGGTACCCTCTCTTCACACCCATCCGCCCCTATCCTTTCCCCAGGCCTCCCTGACCACTCCCAGACCGGGCCCCACCCCAGGGCAACAGGTCACGCCCCTGACCGCTGGGGGCGGGGTTCTTCCCTAGACCTGGACGAGTGCTCCACGCGGCAGCACAATTGCCAGTTCCGGTGCATCAACACCATCGGTGCCTTCGCCTGCCGCTGTCCCCCAGGCTTCACTCAGCGCCACCAGGCCTGCTTCGGTGAGTGCCTCGGGCCCGAGGTGGCGTACTACCCAGCCTTCGCGCCCTTGGTCACCAGATAAACACCTACCGGATGTATGCCAGACGTCGGGGACTTGGGGGTGATTAGAACAAAGCGCTTGCTTCCTCGGGCTCCATCCTCCTCCTTCCTTGCCCTGGGGTGCTGGAAGCCCCACTCTCAGCAGCCGCTCTAGCCTGGGCCCTGGCCTCTCCCTTTGGCCCTCACCAGAGTACTCCGGAAGTCCTAGGAGTTCACACTGTCCAAGGCGGAAGTTGGGTTAGAAGCCAAAGCCACAAGGGCAAATGCCACTATCTTGTGGCGCCGGGGAACCAGATCTCCCACAGGCTGGGCCCAGCTAAGGACCCAAAGCTCCCTCTGTTCACTCATCTACCATCTTCTGAGCATCGACTTTGTACCAGACAGTGCTTCCAGCCAGAGGATGCAAACTATAGCCCGCCAGCCTTCACAGGCCCTCAGCTTGCATTTGCTAATAAAGTTTTATTGGTACACAGCTATGCTCACTTGATCTATCACCTGAGGCTTTGTTCACATTGTGATGACAGAGTCCAGTCTTTCAATAGAGCAAAAAAAAGTTCACTCTCTGGCTATTTACAAAAACAGATTCCAGGAGTCCAGGAGAGCAGAGGCTGATACCATCATGGAACTTCTAGCAGAGAATCAGAACTGGACACAGACTTAATAAAATGTTTTTTGTTGTTGTTTTTTGGTTTTTTGTTTTGTTGGTTTTTTGAGACAGGGTCTCACTATGTGGTTGAGACTGACCTGGAACTCACTGTGTAGTCCAGGCTGGTCTCGAACTCACAGTGATCCTCCTGCCTCAGCCTCCCAAGTGCTGGGATTACAGGCGTGCGCCACCACACCCGGCTAACTTAATAAAATGTTAGAAGGTATTGAGAATGTAAAAGTAAAAACAAAGTAAAAGCAGAATTAGCAGGTTAGGAAAAAGGGAAGCCTGCAGTATTCAAAGAGCAATCAGCTAGCCATACTGGTGACTTACGCCTGTCATCTCAGCCCTCGAGAAGCTGAGGCAGGAGGATCACTGTGAGTTCAGGGCCAGCCTGAAGTACACAGTAAGACCCTGTCTGAAAAAAAGTTTTTGTTTTTTTTTTTTCAGTGCGGGGAATTGAACCCAGGGCCTTGTACATGCCAAGTACACATTCTACTGCTGAGCCACACCCTAAACTGTTTATGACTTTTATTAATTTTTAAATTTATGTTTATTCCTTGTGATACTAGGGACGGAACCCAGGGTCCCGACAATGAACTACATCATCTCCAGCCCCCCCACCTTTAAATTTTGAGACGACTGGGTCATAAGTAGCCCAGGCTAGGGTCAAACTTGGGATCCTCCTGCTTCATCCTCCCAGAGTGCCGGGGTGACAGATGTGCATCACCACACCTGTTTTATGTTATTTGTGTGTGTGAGTGGTGCTGGTGGACTCAGGGCCGCACACCCCCTACCGCTGAGCTACATCTCCAGCCTGTGCAGAGTTTTGATGATCTTTTACTCCCTTACTGGGCACTGTCCTAAGTCCTGTGTGTAGTTAATTTAGCTCTCACCCAAAGAGCGCCAAAGGAGGTATCAACCACCTCCATGTTGCAACTCAGGAAACTGAGGCCAAAAGGGAAAAATCAGTTACCAGATTCCACAGCTTGCAGGTGGGGATGAACCCGGTCTGGTGGCTCACACTTAGAAGCCCAGCCCTGCGGGAGGCTGAAGCAGCGGGATTGCAAATTTGAGCCCAGGCTGGGCAGTGTAGCCAACTCATCAAGACCCTGTTACAAATTTTTAAATAATAAAAAATAAAAAGATGGGGCCGGGGATTTAGCTTATTGGCACTGTGCCTGCCTTGCAAGCACAAGGTGCTGAGTTCAATCTCAATACCAAAAATAAAAAAAAAGTGGAGAAGCTGAGATTCAAGCAAAGCCCTGTATCTGTACCGTCACAAATACGGGCAGCGATTCTGCGAGAAAGGAACTGTTACAGCTCTTACTTCACAGAGGAGGGGGAGATAGGCACAGAGAGAGGGGCGACTTGCCCGAAGCCACACAGCACGGTGGCGCCCTAACCGCCGGGAAAACCCGCCCATTCTCTGACCTCTGCAGACCACAACGAGTGCTCGGCCCAGCCTGGCCTGTGTGGTGCCCATGGACGCTGCCTCAATGTCCCAGGCAGCTTCCGCTGTGAGTGCTACCAAGGCTTCACTCTGGACAGCTCAGGCCACGGTTGCGAAGGTAGAGCCGGCAGGGGTGGGGTGCGAGGCTGGGGGACAGTCATGGGAGGCACAGCTGAGCCCCTCTCCCTTGTTCTCTGGGTCTCAGATGTAGATGAGTGTGATGGACCTCATCGCTGCCGTCGTGGCTGTCAGAACGAGGTGGGGGGCTACCGCTGCAGCTGCCCCCAGGGCTTCACCCAACACTCCCAGTGGTTGCAGTGTGTGGGTGAGTGGCACGGATGGGGAGGAAGAAGCAACCAGGAACTGCTTTCCTGCCAGATGCTGTGACCTGCAGAACTATTTAAAACTCAGGTGGGCCAGCCTGGGATGTCTCCCACTGAGCAGCCAAGGAGCAGCTAAGCAAACATGACGTAGTGTTCAAGTCCGTTTCTGGGAGAGTGGTGGCTGGGAATTGAGAAGGAATTGGAGACCATGCCTGTGATTACTGGGAAAGAGGGCCGTGGTTGATTGGTAATGTCTACTGTGGGAGGAGAGTACATGGATTGACTAGTCATGTCTGACGTAGGAATAGAAGGAAGAATATTGTGATTGATGATGTTTGTTGTGGGTGGCTGGCTGGAGAGAATGCAGTGGTCCATTAGTGATGTCTGCCATGGGTAAAGTGTAAAGAGTGCGGGAACTGCTGGGGATTTAGCTCAGTGGTTCCACTGCCTGCCTTGCAAGCAGAAGGTCCTGAGTTTGATCCCTGGTACAAAAAAAAAGTGCAGGAACTGATTAGTGACTAGCAGGGGAATGAATGCTGGGGTTGATTAGTGATGTCTGCTGTGGGTGCAGCAATGGACAGTAAAGGCATGAGTATATATTGCATCTCCCATAGCTGTTGCAGTGAGGCTGCCTTCTCTGCCCTCCTCCTGTCATTAATGGTGGTTCTTCAGCTAAGTTTTGTTCTGTTTCTTATTGGTCTTCCTGTGCCACCCTTCCCTCAGGCTTTTGTCCCCAGTGCCTTCAGGGATGGCACAGATCCCTGGTTTTTACTGGTGATTCGTTCATTTCCTCTTCTTGTTTACTCATCCCTTCCTTCCCAAACTCTTCTGCAAGGATTTGCCTTGTACCAGGCCCTAAGGTTGCAGAAATGAGCCCCAAACAGACCCCATCCCAGCAGAGGAGACATCTCCTTAGACTGCTCATTGGCTTCTCTATGGAGGACCTTTTTGCCTCCTAAGGGACATTTTGAAGCCTGGTGGTGCACACCTATAATCTTAGCTTCTCAGGACACGGAGGCAGGAGATTTGTAAGTTCCATGTTGGGCAATCAGCGAAACCCTGTCTCAAAATATATGTGAATTTTTTTTTTTTTTTTTTTTTTTTTTTTTTTTTTGGTACCGGGGATCGAACTGGGGACCTTGCACTTGTGAGGCAGGCAGCAGAACCACTGAGTTAAATCCCCAGCTCTATCCTGTCACAAAATATAATAAATAGATAAATAACTAAATAGGACTAGCGCTACAGCTCAATGGTGAGTGCTTGCTCAAGGTCCTGAGTTCCATCCCCAGCCCTGCAAAAAAAAAAAAAAAAAAAAAAAAAGTCCCTTGGCGGCCTTTTCAGTAATCAGAACTCCACAACTGGGGGCTATAGGGTGGGCAGAAGATGCTGCTGAACACCCCACTGGACAAGGTCAACCCCACCGCAGAGAACAGCCCAGCCCTCGTGTCACAGGGCTGTGGACGAGACAGTTTATGCCAGAGCGGCCCACAACTCAGGATTTAGGAGGAGTACCATGAAGGAGAGCCCCGGGCTTCGGGGCAGGGCCTTTGCGGGTAAGGAATGTGGTAAGGTGAGGAGGGAGACAGGTGTAGTCAGGGTTCCCAGTGAGCTCCGGCAGGCCGTGACCTTGGACTTGAGCTCTTGAAGGGCAGGCCTTCTGGGTGGAGGCCATCTCTCTCTTCCTCCCCATCCACAGACCAGAATGAGTGTGCTCTGTCACCCGCGGCCTGCGGCAGTGCCTCCTGCCACAACACCCTCGGTAGCTTCCGCTGCATCTGCCCCTCTGGCTTTGACTTTGACCCGGTCCTCGGGGGCTGCCAGGACGTGGATGAGTGCGCTGGGCAGGGCAGCCCCTGCAGCTACAGCTGCGCCAACACCGCGGGCGGCTTTCTGTGTGGCTGCCCCCAAGGCTACTTCCGGGCCGGGCAAGGGTGAGAGGTCTGAGTGGGTGGGAAGGGGTGGACCAGGCACAGACTCCATGCCTGGTGTGTACACGTGTTCATGGGGCACTGAGGCAGGATTGTAGGTTCAAGCCCACCTTAGGGAATTTCGTGACTTAGTGAAACCCTATCTCCAAAAGTAATTAAAAAAATAAAATAAATTTTTGAGACAGGGTCTCACTATGTAGTTGAGACTGACCTGGAAGTCACTGTGTAGCCCAGGCTGGTCTTGAACTCACAACGATCCTCCTGCCTCAGCCTCCTGAGTGCTGGGATTATAGACATGTGCCACCATGCCTGGCAAAAAAAAATAATAATTTTTATAAAGGTGGAGTTAGGGATGTAGCTCAGTGCAAGGATGGTGGTATCGATCTCTAGTAGTATTTCCGTAGGACCTGTGGACATCCTCTCTACCAGCTCTACCGCTGAGCTGTACACTCAGCCCTCTTGGATGATTTATATAATTTCTAGATTACTTATAATGCTTACTGCAATATGCATGCGGTGTAAATAGTTGTTAGCATGTATTGTTTAGAAAATAACAAGAAAAAAGCCTCTGCATATTCAATGCAGACCCAGTGTAAGCCTAACCATAAGTAGGCATCAGAGCAACAATGTGACTTTTTTTTTGTCCCAGTACTGAGATTGAGCCCAAGGTTTTCACAATGAGCTACATCTCCAGCCCTTGTTTATCCGTTCTGTTTGTTTCAAATTTTGAGAGAAGGCTTTTGCTAAATCAGTAAATGGCCCAAGCTAGGTGAGGATTTGTAATCCTCCTGCCTCAGCCTCCCAACGTGCTGGGATTACAGTTGAGCACCACTGCATCTGGGCCGGACAGTGCACTTTTTTTTTGAGATTGCTTTGCAATGTTAGGCAAGCGCTACTACTGAGCTGCCGCCAACCCTGTAGCATTTTCAGTCCCGGGTGGTTGAGTAGGGGGATGCAGAATGCATCCCTCCAGAGGTCCGAGTGTAGATTCATACATGGCACATGTATGCTACCCTGCACACAGGTCCCCACCTGCACACACCCTGGGCACACTTGGGTACATTCACTTCTCCCAGAAAAGGTATGCTATCTCATTCCCATGTTCACGCCTATGCCCTGGTGAGCCCAGGACAACTTTTCTGCAGGTGTGCGTGGCGCCAGAGCCATGCCAGCGCACACAGAGGCACCTTTATCTGATGGCTCCTCCCCCCAGGGCAGCTGGCTCACAATGGAGGGGAGGTAAGGCTTGGGTGGAGAAGTACCGACGGCTGCCCTGAGAGCCTGCCTAACTCATCATCCTGGCCCAGGCACTGTGTCTCTGCCCTGGCCTTCAGCTCTGGACGCCAGGAGGCCCCAGGTGAGGAGGAGGAGGAGGCACTTTCTCCGGAAGCCTGCTATGAATGCAAGATCAATGGCCTCACTCCTCAGGACCCGTCCCGGCACAGCACCCAGGGAGGCCACCAGGTATCACAGGGGCTGCATGGGGCAGGGGCAGCCAGAGCCCTGCGGGTGGGAAGGAGGCTGTGACCCTGAAAGAGTGCTAGACTCAGCTGGGCGTGGTAGAATACACCTGCAATCCTAGCTGCTCAGAAGGATGAGGCAGGAGGATCTCAAGTTCAAGACCAGCCTAAGCAATTGAGCAAGACTCTGTCTCAAAATAAAATCTAACATCACAAAATGCAAGGACCTAAGTTTGATCCCCTGTCCCAAAAAATAAATAAATAAAAATTGAAAATAATAAAATGAATCTCACAGAAAAAGCCTGGGGATATGCTTAATGTTCCTGTACCCCAGCTCGTCCCTCCTGTCATGGTACATGGGTCTCCCCGTCCTTCTGTGGTCCTGGGGTTTCCCTTGGGGACTCTCTGGGCACATCATAGCATTCCAGAGGATGATTCAGGCTTCCCCTACAGAACCTGTGATGCAGTAATAGACAAGGAAAAAAGTTCCTGCTCCTGGGTGGATATTCTGATGAGGAGAGACAAATATAAATAAATAGATAGATAGATAGATACAGGCTTAGTTTGATTTTGGTACTGAGAACCGAACCCAGGGCTACATCCTAAGCTCTTTTTTTTTTTTTTCCTTGAGACAGAGTTTTGCTAAATTTCTCAGGCTGGGCTTGAATTTGTGATCCTTCTGCCTCAGCGTCCCAGGGTTCTGGTGTTACAGGCGCGCACCACCACACCTTGCCGTGTACCACATTTTATAACACATATAAATATGATCCATAATAAATATCATTGGGGAATAAATAAACCCCGAGTGAAATAAGCATGATGGGTCGGAGGGGCTTTTCACTGTTTAGTCAAATGCTGAGGACATCACATAAACCTCTTTTCTCTAGTTGTCTTTCTTTTCTTCCTCTTGCTAAGGAGAAAACATGGCACTATGTCATTCAGCCTATAGTTCCTTTTATTTGCCATGGGCATGAGAAGGGTAGAACCCTCCGTTGGGGTTAGACCTGTATAGCCTGCCCTGGGTACTAATGAGGGCAGCGGCTTACAAGAGGCCAAGGTGTATTTGCCTGCAATACCCGCTCGCCGCCAGAAGGTGTCAGTAAATGCAAAATGTCCCGGCCACGCTGCGGGAAAGGCCTGTGACCGTCAGAACCGGGGGCGGGGAGGCAGGAAGAACTTTCACTTTAATGCAGCTGCCCGGCTGCTTGGTAGGCATACGAATGAAAGTGTGGGCATGCAAATGAGGCAAAACTCACAGAACTCGGGCCAGGCAAAGGAGAAAACACAGATAACCTTCTGTGTGCTTGGCTTGGTCTACCCACCCGGAGCAGCCTGTCCCTGAGGCTGGCTTATTGAGGGCACTGTCCGGCTGCCAGCACCAGGACCGCACTTCAGAGAAGTGCAGATAAAGGAGCGTTTGTCACCCCCACACAGGGGCTCTCTAAGAGTGCCAGATGCAGGGAGTCCAGCGGAAGCCAGCTTGGCTCTTCTGTCTCCTGGCCCTGCTCCTTTTTCTCTGGCCCAGCTGGGTGTCCTCTTTGTCTTTCTGCCAACTCTGGCACCCTTTGGGGGCTGGTTCCTGCAAAATGTCCCTTGGTCTTAACACCAGCCATCAGGGCTGCCCCGGGGCTGTGCTGACCAGTGCCATCGGAGTGACCAATGGCTGGGTGTGTAAGGCAACACTTGATTCATTTAGCTCAGAATGGCAGGGGCCTCAGCTGAGACGAGGGGTCTGAAAACTATAAAAGTGGCCACTCAAGCAGGGCATGGTGACACACACCAATAATCCCAGCATTTAGGAGGTAGAGGCGGGAGGACCACTGCAGGTTCCAGACCAGCTAGTGCTACATGGAAAGTCTTAGGAAAAATCAGTGAACAAATAAATGTGACTGCCTAAGTCGGAAGTGGTGGTATGTGCTGGTACGCTCTGGGAGGCTGAGGCAGAAGGATCAAATGATCAGGTATAGCCCGGGCAATTTAGTGACTCAGGGAGACTCCGTCTCAAAGGTATAATTAAAAAAGAACTAGGGGTATAGCTCAGTGCAAAGATCCTGGTTTGTTGGTTTGGGGGTTTTGTTCAAAGGCGATGACTGCTACCAACCTTTTCTTTTTGGTACTGGGGATCAAACTCAGGCCCTTGCACTTGTGAGGCAGACAGCAGAACCACTGAGCAAAATCTCCGGCCCCCAACCATTCTTTGCTTTTCTCCTGGAGCCAGCTGTGGCCTTGTGCCCTGACATCCTCAGCCTGTGCCAACCTTGGCCCTGTGGGTGGAGGGCTAAACAGAAGCCAAGGGCAAAGAGCACAAAAGACCCTTACCCCTTGCCCGGTGAGGTGATGATCCCCCTATAAACCCAGCAATCGGGAGGCTGAGGCAGGAGGGTCACCAAAAGTTCAAGGCCACAGGGCTATACAGTGAGTCGAAGGCTAACTTGTCTCAAAAGACAAAAATAAAAAACCTTTTCCTCTGCACTAGGGAGGTAGGAATCTCTGTCCCAGAGCATCCTATGAACTGTATCCCCATTCACCCTGCCTCTTTCCCCCCAGATGAGCATGGCCACCCTTGATGCCGAAGTCCCCCTGACCTTGGTCCTGAACCTGTCACGCCTAAGCCAGGCGGAGCACATCCTAGAGCTCCGGCCAGCTCTGCAGGGCCTGCAAGGCCTGGTCCGCTACTTCGTCGCTGGAGGCAACCGGCAAAGTTTCTTCTCCATGCAGCACCAGAATGGCCTCAGCTTCCTGCAGCTGGGGCGGTGCAGGCCGGGGCCTGGAACGTACCAGCTGGAGGTGGTGAGCGTGGCAGGGGCCGGGGGTGCCCAGCAGGGACCTGAGGGCTGGGCCTTGAGGCTGAAGGTACAATTGCAGCTCCTCTAGTTGGGAGGGGCCTCAGTGGGTCCCAGCACTCCAGTACCAGCAGATTCTGGAACCAGTGGGACTGTTCCTCACGGCGATGGCTGCCCAAGTCAAACGCCAAAACTCAGGAAGCGCGGCATGCTATGCTATGACCTCAGACGAGCCCAGCCTGTGCCCACACCCTCTGTGACAGACCAAGGGACCCCAATACTCCATCTTCCCTGGAGACGTCTGGTCATTGCCGTGTGCCTCCTCTGCCCCTGGGCCAGTGAGGGTCCCTGTGGTCACAGCCTCTGGTCGATCGCAGACTTAGACTTCTGTACTGCACTGTGGCTCCCGCCCCCAAGCGAGGGCCAGTGGGACATGGGGACAGGTGGCTGGGGTGGGCATGGGGCTTGTCCCTCGGGGCAGAAAAGGACTCACCACTGCCTGCTCATTCCCCTGGGGACTGGGCCGGGGTTCTGGGGACGCTTTTATATCTGAAGTGGAGACAGCAATAAAAAGTTATTTCAGGTTAAACCTGCCTGTCCTTTGGCAAGTGCTCTGATAAGACACTGCCCTGGGGGCTCTGCAGCCCCAGGGGACCAATCAGTTCTGCAGGCGTCACACCTGTGCATTTGGCACACGCCTGGACTGTGCCGGGCAGCGGGTGGCAGCCAGGCAGCTGTGCCAGCGCCCATGTTGGCCGCCAGCACTGGCAGTGTACGGGGTCCCCGGCACACTCCTCCCAGGCAGGTAGCTGTCACCTCCATTTTACCGTGGGATGGAAACGGAGGCTTAGAGAATTATGGGGGCCAGTCTGGATCACCCCTGAGGTATGGGGGTGGGCGACCTCCAGAGAGGGTGTGTTTGATTTTCCCCCAGGACATCCCCGGTGTGCTGGAGCTGAGGCCTTCACTTGCAGAGCCACCGTGAAGGCCTGGTCACAGGGCTCCGTCCTGGCCAGGTCCTGAACGCTGACTTCTCTGTGGCCTCAGGGCAGCCTTCCCGATCTGGACCCATGGAGACTCGGGCCCTACAAGTTGTCCCGAGCGCTGGGGACACAGATCTTGGGGTGAGGGTGGGTCCCAGAGCACCCCATAACAAAACAGGACGGGTGTGGGAGTGACATCCTCCCAGATAGTTTATTTAGAAGTTGTCATAGATATACATATATTTTTAAAGCAGCCTAGGAGATGTCTTTGGAACAACCAGAGGTTCCCAAGGACTGGGGCAGGCAGCCAGGTGAGTGGTGAGAAGTCACAGGTAAGCAATGTACCTGGGGCGGGGGTGGGGTCTCGGATGGATGCTCACCTGCTTGACTTTAAATAAGGTCAACTTTCTCTTCCCAGCAGCCCAAGGGTGGGAAGAGGTAGGGACAGAAAGGAGAAAACCACGCAGGCCCAGGAACTACGACAGTGCAGACTGAAGGACACAGGGCAGGGGCAGCAGCCAGCACTGCGGATCGTGGAGAAAGACGCAGCCGCCAGGTGCCATTGGAGGATCCCAGAGGTG